TCACAACCAGCATTCTTGTGATCATTCGCAAGGCGAACTGTGGCCAAAAGCAGCAGTTAATAAACAGAAATATAAATTGTTTACCCAGTATCTTCAACACCCCTTCGAGTGAAAAGTCTATTTGTACAAATTTTTAATAAAAGCGTTAATGGTTTCGTAGGCCTTGAAGTCTGAAGAGCTTTCCACATTTGTGTAGGAATGTTTGGAGCTTGGGCCTTATCGCAAGACACGGGGCATCATTGCAACGGCAGCATTTGAGAACTGCATCCTTTTACCTCGTTATGAGCAGGATCAACTCTTAGGAAGGAAAAGACTCCAGGGTGTGGAATTATCATTTTCACCGGAGTCTCTGCCCCGTCTAGGAACCGGTGCAGCAAGCCCCAACTCGGGGATGGGCCCCAAAACTCTGCTCTCTGGACGCTTCCCCTATTCTTGACCATGAGGGTTGCGTCATCGAGCGGAGTAGGGACGCAGTTTTGGGGACCCATCCCCGAGTTGGGGCTTGCTACACCCGGCCTCTAAGCTTGGTCCTTGAGGTGCGCCCGCTAACTGCGATAGCGCCAAGTTTTGTTTCATTTTGCTGATTCGATTTTTACCCTTGGACTTTATTGATACCCTGCCATGCACACATACTAAACAAATTTTATCAACTATTAACAAGATGATGGTCTATTGGTGGCAAAATCTTCAACCGAGAGTTCTCATAAGTTTAATGACTACTTATCCAAGACTAATTGAAGAGGTTTTTAACAGACTATCCTGGAGTCCAGCACTGAAGGAGAGGGGTGGTTCCAGCAAAAACTGGGATTACTATAGGCGACACGAACTGCTGACCAAATGCCTCCTTTTCGGTACATATACCGTGATGAAAAAAGGGAATGTACTCACTTTTTTCTTCGCTATCGCTAATTTGTCGGCGCGGCTCACCGACTCAGACATCGTTCACGAGAAAAGATATCCTAACCAGCCACGGTTCGCAAGGTATTCAGCGCAGCCGACCTAAAAGTGATACCAAACAATTACCGATTTTAAGCCATATAAAAGCAGGTCGCCGAAAATTTAGCACATGGAGAAACCCAGCAAGAACTTGAACGGTTCCAGCTAAAAAGGTTAAGCGTCAAAGAAAGCATGCAAAACAGAAAAGTAAGAACTAGACACCACTTATAGATAACAAAGAACCTCATTATAACTAACCAGTCTCGGCTATTATACAGATTCGGATCCTGACGTGGCACGCTTTCGATTAATTGTGAATTGGTGCAACTAGGCGTAGACGGTACAGAATCGCCGCAGTACCGTAATCTTAATTCAGTCGCCATACGTCTTACCTACACCTTCCGCCTTCTTTAATCCTCATATCCAGAACGATATAATGCCCCAGTGGCGAAAAAAGCAAAGAAATCCGTCAAGAAGGCGCAAAATGGGACCCCTTTCTTTGCCCGTTGACCTCCGATAATGGACGAGCTAGCAACCAATTAGGAGGTCGTTTGCACATGTTATGCTGATAGCCTCTATCATTTCAGCAAGCATCATGCTTTGATTGATCACGCATCCCATGAAAAGTTATAGGATACACTCTGGAAGTGGAATATCTCGTCACATTGGCAATCGAAGGGCGCTGCTGCTGGGGGCGGAGCACAGACCGTGGCGGGGCTCAGAAAGGAATGGCAAGCCTTGTACGCTGCAACTAGCGCACCTTTGACCACAAAAACGCAACATTTCGTTTCCTTGGGCCCCTGACTACTGCTTCCAATGGTGCATGTACTTCCACGCTGCATACGCACTTTATCGTAATCTCTCGCTTTAAGTGAGCTCAAGCCAACTAACTTCGGTTCAATCCACGGCGCAGGCCTCTGGTGAACTGACTTCCTGAGGGAGCTTAACGTCTACTCCCTGGGGATAGAGGCCTTGCTCTCCCGGAGGTTGGACAGGCAGCCTACATGCGCAAGCCGCTAGCAGAGATGCTAGCAGAATGTTATAGAGATTGATTTCAAGAGGGACTGACTATGGACGTAGAAGTGCTGAAGTATTAGGTATTGTTTTGGAGTTCTGCCGATTCATAAATGCCCTGCTAAAAATAAATAAAAACAACTTAGGTCGTTAACGAAATTCTCGACTAGAGAGACTAAAGAGCTTCCAGTTTGCTATCATTACTAGGGGTGTTAAGCTGCCACAGTTAGGCCGATGTCAGACTTCGCGGATCGTGCGATCGCGCTACTAGCGATTCACGCGATTCGCTAGCGTCCCGGCTCGCGTTTGCAGACTTCCTTAAAAGCAACAATCCAGGAACGAATTCGCGGGTAAGGACCACCTATAATGACGTTGCAGGTGAGAAGTTGGTCAATGGAGAAAGAAAAAGTAGAAAAAACGTCGGGCAGGGGCTTAGACAGGGACTCCCCCTGCCGTTTAGGGAGACGTGTGTTGGACGAGTTGTCCGAACCTGCCCGTAGTACATGCGCTCCAATTGCAACTGCTGGCAAATAGCCATGCATGCTTGCAAATACATAACTATTTGCCAGCAATCGAAATTGAAGCGCTTCAATTGCGTTCTTATGGAATCGACCTCATACAGCGCGGCGGTCCCGCAACGACCGCTAGTCGAGCAAGCGCTCTGCACAGCTGCTTGGAGGCGGCCCCACCACGGATCGGTGGATCCGCCCCTCTTGAAGGATTTCGACTGCTTCCAACGCCTTTCAGAGGTAAGTTTTGAAGTTTGTGACATTTCCCATGAACTCCAATCAGGCTGAGGCATGTTTCCACCACTTGAAAACCAAATGGTTGAAACCCTGCCTGGACTGTTGCTTTAAGTGATTCACTGGCCGCGACGCGACCGCAGACGCTAGCGAATCGCGCGATTCGCAGAGTCTGACAATCGGCCTTAGGCGGGCCCATTGAAAGTGTCACTGAACCCATTGACCTACAAAACTCCGCTTTACCGTACTCATACATAGATCTCTCTGTCACCATTACCACTTTTCGCCCATACCGGAGCTTGTTGGGTAACAGTACATGCTTTGATATCTCAATGCGATGAGCAAACGATCATCGTCGGTTTCCTTTTCGAAAGTCTCCATTGGTAGAATGACGGAACAATTTAATGTGCTTCTTATTGGTGGGAAAGTGTCGTTTCCAACGAGCTCCATCCTGACTGACGATGTTGAATCTGAGCTGAGATATGCCGCTGTGAAAGAAAAACACGTCAGAACCCGCATGACCTTCCGGACAACCTAATATTAGATGGTACGTATATGGGTCTGTGGTTTATGTTTTTGTACGAATCTAGCCCACTTCAATTCACGCT